ATCTCTAAATTAAATAATGCTCCTTACTATATCTACTACAAATACACCAAACACATAAGAATGAAAAGAAAATAATCTAAATAGACTAGCAAAAATAATAAAAATGTTACTTTTTTTCAAATTTTAAACATAAAATACACAAACCAGATATAAGATACATGATACAAGTATGATTAAATATACATCTCTTTTAATAATATAGCATAAATTTGCATAATAGCACATTACTTCCCCGACAATGATGCCAAAAACTTGAAAGAAGTGCACGTGCAATGGTGCATAGTTAGATGCGCATAAAATTTTTTTAGGTTTTCTTTGATATAAATACCCACAAAATATCGCAAGTGCACGTATCAATTAAGTAATAAAATTTATATGAGAGAGTGTCAATCCCATGTTGAAGTGTTCTATCACAATACAAATGTACCAGTACTGTCTATTAAAGCTACAATGTTTATCTTGAACAATAAAAAATTAGCTTTAGATTTTTTTTTATGACTATGAAATGTAGAAGAAAGATAAGATACTAGTTGATACAGAGTTATAGACTAATGATAATGAATTTCCAAAGCTTTCCAAAGTTTACTCTCCTGTGTTGGTTGCAAGTTATGGCATATGCATCCTTAGATTTCCATTGAGCTTATAAAAAAGTGAAGGAAGGTTTATGAACCTCCTATTATTATTAATTCTCGATAGACTCTATAACACTAAATATCCTATATGCAAGAGTTTCTTTTCAAAAATCCTAGTTATTCCAATATTTCTCCATCAAGGTAATGTATCACACTAATTTTAGCTTTAAACATAGCCATTGAGTAAATAAATTAAAATAGGAGATATTGAAAAAAATAATTAATTCAGTAAAGCATAAGAGTCTACATTAGTAAATAGTAAAGCTTCACATAATTAGCCCAAACTAGGAGTTTAGATAGTCATGGAATTAAAATAAAATAAAATTTATTTCATTACTTCCTCTAAAATGAATGTACAAGGAGAAGAGCATAAATAAATATGACAAGGATAGTGCAATTACACTGTCGACACTCCTTTCTTCATTGATTACTTGTTTTTCCACGATAAGGGATGCTAGTCACTCTGATTGTTATATCTTTTTGTTCTCTAGTCCCCATTAGTTTTGATTCTAAGGTAGTTCTACAATTCAACACTTAAGACCAATTGGAATTAAGACCAAATAAAAATATTAACAAATTCTGTATATTATGTACATAAATGGATTCAGGTGCTACAATGCTCAACAACATTGCATCGCAACTTTACAATATAAATAAGCACCTCAATGCTGCTAGGTAGGCTTTGCTGCTGAGTCGGAATAACTCGTCATTGTTATTGACTATAAACCAACACATCTTTTTGTTGAATTAACGTGGCTACGCATTTTATCAATTGATATGCTGTGGTGTTACAAAAGTTGAGCATTGTGGCGGTTGAATGTCTAATATGGCATTGTAGTGTTGTGATATTCCAATGTTCAAAAGGCCACTAAAAATTAATTGTTTCCATCGGCGCTCCAGCATTCAAATTCCTTAAATTCCAGTGTTGCGATGGTGATTTCTGGTATTATGGCATTGTGAAGCGCTGTGGCACTAACCTTGGGTCTATTGATGCGTTGAATTAAATGATATTGTTCTTGAGGCTCTAGCATTGCAATTTCCTGATCTAATGTTAGGGTGTTTTAGACGGTGCAACACAAGTTTAACACATTTAATTTTTTATCCTTTTCTTGAGACATTCCTACGTAACATCAACTAAAAATAATAGTTTTACTAAAATTTAAGATAATAAAACACTATATAATTTTCGGTTAACACCTGCCCATACAAGAGGATCCATTAAAGAAATCATATGAGACTACAAGAAGGGATCTCCATAAGAAAGCGGTAAGCCCACATGATTATTCCTACCAAAGAGTTTGCCCTACACAATGCAAATTAGAGATCCACCCTCAAGCAAGCACTTGTCGCTACCTTTGTCACTGTCGCTCATCTTGACTCTTCATTCTCACATTTGTTGAACTTAGCAACATGAAAGCACCTACTAAAGGTACCCAGAACATTATTCATCTATCATATCCTTATCTAAAGATCTCTATTCCAACCATGAATTACTCACCTATATATATATATATAAGCATACAGGCATATTAACTCATAAGTAAGCGTGCAATTAATGAAAATAAATGAAAAAATTATTCTTAAGTGTTTCATATGGAAGTAATGAATTACAAGCTTATTTTTTTGACTAAAATTTAGAATTTTAGGGTTTTATTTTATTACAATTTTTTATTTAAAATAAATGCACTTTCTTAGTGCTTTCTTGATGATGATAAAGCAGCCCTTAAGTCCATAATGAAAACCTGATCTTAATATCATGGCAGAGCCATTATATTCCGTGGTCTTATTGGCTAGTGATTGGGTCAAGGCAATCTGCTTGATGTTTTGCATCACAATCAATTTGCGCTAAAAAGTGGATGGAGAAATCAATCTACCTCTTTTCAATGGATATAGAGTGGTTGCTTTGATTGTAAGCAAATGCACATGTCAAAGCCAAAGCTGACCAATAAAAAGATGTATCCAAAGTCTTCACAAATTTTGTTGACCCGCAACGCTGTATTATTGTATTTTAAAAGAATAAAATAGTAAACAACAAATTAACAACTAAGATATTGAAAGAGAAAGGTTTTGCACCAATTAGAAGATTTCACGGATGAACTTGGGGATAAAAACTTCTTTTGTTAAGATGATGAAAATTTTTAGTTCAACTTCTTCTCAATTACAGTTTTATTCTGAGTGAAATACGAAATAATTAAACTGTAAAATCATCTAATATATAAATGAGATAAAAAAATAGCTCGAAATATTCATACTAGTCCATAAAAATCCAAATTTTTGTTAAGAAGAAATAAAAAATTATCAATTCCTAATGTTAGTCGATAAATGAAAATTTAGTAAATAAATGAAATTTTTTATTTTTATCTTAATGCAATAACTTTATAACATAGCTATTTAAAATTGTACATTAAAACTGACGTAACGAATACATTAAATCAAATAAAATAAATATGAAGCTCAATTCATTCTTTGTAAGAAATAAAAATATAATAAAAAAATTAATATGATTAAGTAATGATTAATGCATGACTATAAAGAGCAAATTTAATTAAAAAATTTAGAAATTAGTGTCAATATATTTGAAGAAAATATGAGCGAAGACCTATATATTCGAGTTATCTTCAAGTTCAAAATAAATCTTACGCAGAAAGCAATCACCAACAAAACACAACAAATGTCCACATGTATGGAGAGTACCAAATAGGGAAAAATAGATGAAAGTGCAAGGGTTTATGTTGTTATCACTGTTCGCTTTATAGATTGCATCATTATCTTCCCAAATATATTGTGGAGTATAAACCACAAAGTACAAGATCATCCACATCCTTATATCTTATCCAATTATTTGTGATAAGTATTTAATCAACAGATAATTTAGAATTTCTAAAAAAAAAAATTTACGTAAAATTGGAACTTTCAAACATCTGCTTTTAGTGTCAACCGGAAAACACAAAAGTCTTCGTCAAACTTTATTCTACTTGGTCGAGAGTTTTGACCATACTATGAGATTAAGCATTTGAGCCTCGACAATTTTTTATTTTTTATTTTTCAAGTTTTTGATGTTCAAATTCGCAGATTTAAGCATTGCCCTTGTTCAAACATCACTATAAACAGGAAAAAGGAGTACATAGTCAAAGACAGAATTTGAATAAAGAAAAGTGAGCTTGTCAGTTGCATGGATAGTCACTTCGAAATATTATACAAAATCAGGACCCTAGCACTCTAGTCGAATAGCTGCTGTGGTACAAGACCAACCCAAATCTTTTCTGGGGGATGGACATTTAAAAGAATTAAGATAAATTCATGCTAATATCATATTTATAACACTCGAATTCAAGATCTTTCGTTTGGTAGTCAAAATTCTCAAGCAACAAGTCAACATGAGTTGCGTGTCAGACAAAAATTTCAAGTACCAAACTAACATAAATTTAAGACGCAGCTTTTAATGATTTGTTAGATGGGAGTTTTGACTCTAACCAAGAGAGCTTAGATTCCAAATCTACATTTGTGATGTATGGGTGAATCGGTCTTAATTTAAGCAGCACGTCATCAAGAATACAAGACTGCAGCATCCGAACTGATTAAATGTTATCACAAACAAACTTAAAGGGACAAAGCATCAAAATAACGTAAGCGTCCAAAGGCCATCGGAAACAAGGGTAAAAAAAAAAAAAAAATTGTAACATTGAAACAAAATGCTGAAACAACTAACAAACCCTATTAGAATTCCTTTATCTAACAGAAAGGAGAATTGTTCAACTTACACCAATCTCAGACATCACCCATAATAAATCGGCTATAATATTGGGATCGATTGAAAGAGCAGCAAAATGCTGCTGCTACCTCAATAAACTGCTTTAATAACTAACCATGATTTTTTGGGTTTAAAATTTATTAATGTGATTTACATGTGAATTTGTCTTAATTAGTCGTAATAATAGCATCTAGAATACGAGACTGCAGAAATAACAACCGAAGTGATTAAGGCTTCGTTTGGAACGGCTTCATTGTTGCTTCTTAAAGAAACTTTTTAGTACAAAAATTATTTTTTTTTTCTAAAAAGCTTCTTTAAGATGCAGTAAAAAAGCCGTCCCAAATGAGGCAAATTATTGGGTCCGGTGTCCGGATTCGTCTGGACACCAATCCGGTGTCGCCACATCACCAAAATACACCGGGACCCAATGTATTTGGGTGATGTGGCGTCACCGGATTGGATGTCCGAACATCCGGTGACCGGATGCAATAATTCGCCCCCAAATGAACCCTAATGTTATCACAATCAAACTTAAAAGGATAAAGCATCAAAATAACGTAAGCCTCCAAAAACTATCGGAAACAAAGATAAAAATTTGTAACAATGAAACAAAAAACTGAAACAACTAACAAAGCCTATTTGAATTCCTTTATTAAACAGAAAGGCACATTGTTCAACTTACACCCCCATCTCAGAAGTCACCCATAATAAAGCAGCTACAACGTTGGGATCATATGAAAGAGCAGCAACAAGCTGCTGCTACATCAATAAACTGCATTAATAACACAAATGAGTTGAAAGCCTCAATTAAAAAGCATACGAAACTCTGCAGTCCAGTTGAATTCATAATTTCATTTCTATCTAACAAATGAAGTTTTTAATGCCTACCTTCAAAGTGAATCTGAATCATCCTTACCATAAATAAGGGGGAACTCCTCAAACTGCTCCGAGGAGTTATACTTATCTCCTAAGCTCTTCAGAGAATGGTAAACACGATACATGGAAGGCCTATCCTTGGGTCTGTTGGCCACACAGGTTACTGCAATCCTTAAAAATTGTAAAATCTCCCCATCACTTTCCTCTCCACTGATACTCCTATCAACTGATTCAGGCAACTGGCCAGCTGCAGCTAGCTGATTGATCCAATCCACTAAACTCCCCTTAAACCCCTCTCCCGCTAAGTCTGCAGAGATTTCCGTAGGTTTCTGCCCAGTGACTAACTCCAGAAGCACAACACCAAATGCATACACATCTCCTTTCACGGTAGCGATCGGGTTACTAGCGTACTCGGGCGGAATGTAGCCAAATTCACCAAAATCGCCGTTTAGAAAAGGACTCGCGCCGGCAGACCTAGCTACACCAGCATCAGCTTGTGACGAGCTAACAAGCTTCGGCAGGCCAAAGTCAGTAATACGGGCCTCCCAATCCTCGTCAAGGAGGATGCCACTGGAAGAAATTGTCTGGTGCAGAAATGGTGTCGGGAAACCGTGATGCAGCCACGCAAGGCCGTGCGAGGCTCCTATGCCGATCCGAAGTCTCGCCGACCATTTGAGATTTCCAGTGGGTGCTCGAAGACGAGAATATAAAGCTCCGTCGGGCATGTACTTATAGACTAGGAAACGCTCATCCTCGACCACGCAGAAACCGAGCAAGGGGACAAGGTTGGGATGGCGAAGCTGGCTGATCCGGCCCATCTCTGATCTGAACTGCTTCTCCCCAAGGGAGCAGCCATGGAGACGCTTCACGGCGAGGGCGGAGCCGTCGGGAAGAACAGCTTTGAAGGCGGTTCCCACCCGTTCGCTCCCTGCGATGATGATGTAATCCCGGTGGAAATCTCGAGTGGCCGCAAGCAGATCGGCCAGCTTCACCTTTACGATCGGTTTCTGAAACAGCGATACCGGCACCAGCCGGTTGTGAGATGCCCTAAGCCGCGCTGCCCAAAGCCTACCCTCCTCGCCGGAGATGGCATCGCCAGACTTCTTCTTTTCAGATGAGAAATAGCATCTCCAGCCGAAGTAGGCGAGGGCGAGAGAGGCAACGGCGCCAAAGACGCCAGCGGCGATGATAATGATAAGGCCGGTGTGGGAACGGGAGCCGCAGTGGGATGAAACGGGCTGGCCACATAAGCCCTCGTTGGAGTCAAAGGAAGAGGAGGGGAAAGAGTCGCCGAAGGATGCGGGGATCGCGCCCGAGAGATGGTTATTGGATAGATCGAGCGTCCTTAGTCGTTCGAGGCCGGAGAGCGAGGCAGGGATTGGGCCGGAGAGCGAGTTGGATGAGAGGTCAAGAGAGTTGAGGAAACTGCAGTTAGAGAGCTCAGGGGGGATGGAGCCTGTGAGGCTGTTTCCGGAGAGGTCGAGTTTGACCAAATAGGGGATCCATTTGCAGAGGTCTGGGGGGATGGGGCCGGTGAGGGAGTTGTCGGAGAGGTCGAGGGAATTAACGCCGCTGCAGAACTGGAGGGCGGAGGGGATGCCTCCGGTAAGAGACATAGAAGGGAAACTGAGCGAGAGGATGCGGTTTTCTTGGGGATTCCAGCAGCCTACGCCCACGAAGTTGCAAACGAATCCGACAGTGGTGTTGGAGAAATTCCAGGCTAGGTGGCCATCGGGATCGCCGAGAGATTGTTTCAGTTCGCGAAGGCACCGTACGTCGTCCTCGATCACCGGTGACACGGAGGTTTGGGTCATGCAGAGGAGAAGAAAAGTGGCAGCGCAGCGGGTTGCCCACCGTCTGTTCATACTGCCGGCGGTGTTTGCCTCTAGTTCTGAAGTTAAGATCTAGAGACAGAGAAGCGGGGGAGGGTACGAATGTGCGGGAACGAGAGAGGGAAGTCAATGGGATTGGGGTGCGCGAAGCTTTGGCCGTTCGGTGGTCAAAGTTTCAAGCGCAAATACGAGTTGTGAATCTTGTTAAGTTTGATTTGGTAGTAAAAAATGCCGGCCGAAATTCCCCTCGCTGCAAGCCATACCTTTTTTTGCCTCTCCAATCAAATTTTGCAAACAAAGACGAGGAACAAACAAAGCTCATACCAAAACTAATAAAAAAGAAATTTTTGATTCAACAGCAAAATGAAAAAAATGCATAGATAGATTATTACGTGCGATGTCCGGACCGTCCAGAGGTGAATTCAGACGCACCACGTCAACCGGATGCACTGGGTCCCAAGTGACGTGGGCCGTCCAAATTGGCCTCCGGACGAATCCGGACGCCGCACGTAATAATTTTCCATAGATAGAGAGATTATTACGTGGGGTGTCCGGACCGTCCAGAGTCGAATCCGGACGCACCATGTCACTAGGATGCACTGGCCCTAGGTGATGTGACGTGTCCGGATGCCGCACGTAATAATTTTCTATTGATAGAGATATTATTACGTGTGTTGTCCGGATCATCAAGAGGCGAATCCGGACGCATCACGTCACCCGAATGCACTTGATACACATAATGGGTAAAATTATATCAAATAAATCAGATAAACTTCAAGATGAAGGACGATCATCATAATGCAAGTGCAGGTTGCCAATAAGAGATTACCAATCAAGAGGGCAAAATTGGAATGTACTCCATTCATCAAGCCCACTTTGCCGAAAGACTCACCAAAGTGCTTAAAAGCAACCGACCGATTACAATCTAGGTAGAAGCTATGCTAAAGAAAGTATTCAGTAAATATCAGTTTGCCTAAATACTCTCTAGGTCAAAAGAATCCAAAAAATGCCCACCAAAACATCTGTTTCTAAATGGGCAAGCATAGTAACAAAGGTAACTAAGGGTAGAAACCAGAACGAAAAGCCACACTCTAGGTAACATAACCTACAGTAGAATAATGTAACAGGTGTCTAACATACTTCTTCCAAGCAGAAATTTTGTGGAACATTGCTTTCTTGACTTTGCAACAGATGGTGGCAGAGCTAGTGATGTTAGAAACAAATTTTGTATCATTACACTCATTCCAAAGATGATACAGCAAGCAGTAAGAAAGCATCAGGAATGAATTTTTGCAAGAAGAATTTTGGTCCAAGCATCTCATATATCAATTGGGGAAGTTGCAGTAGATCAAATGTCATGAGAAAGCAGTTAGCCCTGGGAAAAAGAATATCAAAATGTTAAAATAAAATCAAATTCAAATAAAAAAAGTGTCTCCGTTTCTTAAACATCCAAATAAAGAGAGCAAGAGGCATTAACAGGGATATTGCATTTAATGAGAACATCTACAGTCTTCAAACCTACAACCAGATAAAGACAAGCAAAGGTGGAGTATCTAATAGCGTGATGATTATGCTTATGTTTTCAGAAGGCTTTGACATCAAGGAATGTCCAGCTCAACATCAATTATTTACTTAAGGGATTCTACAAGCCCATTATAAAACGTTTGAATCACCAACCAATTACGCAAAGTATGATGAGGGCACTTTCTAAGTATTTCCATAAATCTTTTATAACTCTCATAAATTGACACTCCTTCAAACTGAAAAAAAATAAATAATATCATTCTGTGGGATCCGAAAATTCAACTCCGACCTCCGCCCGACTGATCCCTTTTTCTTCGGTAAGGGGAGATTTAACGAACTATGTTCCGGGGTAAATTTTGGAAGGCAGATGTGTTTGTACATAAGTCACTGCCCAGAGATTTTGCCCTCATTTTGTGAGGACTTTATGATCTGAGTTATGGTTTCCTATAGATGCAAGCCCCTATAGTTAATTACCCCCCTCCCCCACTAATGAGAGAGAACTTTCGATTAAGGCTAGTCGTCAATCAAATACGCATAAAATACATGTTATCTGGCATAGAGTAGCATGGGTATGGAATTGAAAAATGGGAAGATCTTTATATTTAAAAATGAAAATTTCACCATCTTGCACTTGAAGCAAATGGTGGGGGAATGGATGATAGATCCGATCAAGAACCCTTGGTTCAATCGTCCTGGGCCATCGTGGCCCCTGGTCTACTTAGTTATAGGTGGTAGTCGACCCAACCTGACAGAAGGATCCATATTAGAAGCCATAGGTTGCTTCGTCCAAAGGGACCTTGTAGACTTGGTGAGTATGTTAGTCTAAGGAAACAAATTCGAATCCACCTTAGCTGATAGAGGGCTTTACGCCCTATCAAACATATCCTATTAATTCATATCTTAAGGATTTTATGGCACTAAGGAACATATTGGCTATGGCCATAACCAATATTTTATGGTGCCATTTGGCGGCAAAACCACTCTGTTAAGAGGGCCCCGGGTCATAACCGTTTATCCTGTGGTGCCATTTGGCAGCAAAACAGCCAGTTAGAGGAAACATTCCACTTCATTATTGGTAGGAGATTGTTTGAGAATGGATCCTATTGATATATTCGACTAGGTATTAGCTCTACGTGAGCTGAAGTTATATTTGAATTTGTCCATCTTGGCAAACTGTTGCAGAGGGTAGATGGATTTTACTTTAAATGATTGATGTGTAATTTCAATTTTAAATATTTTAAAATTTGAGATTTTTGGGATTTTGGATTTTATGAGCCTTTTCGTAGCATTTTGAATTATTTGTGAACCCCTCCAGTTGAGCTCTTCATTCAACACGGCTATCTTCAAGGTGTTTGGGATCATTTTCATTTGATTAAACTTTGTTGACCCTATCAATTTGTTGATAGGGGATCGAGTTTCATAGGCTCTATGCATTTATTAATGAATTCATATTGTTATAGGTCTTGAAGGACTAATATGAATGTATTAAAACAAATATAATGGTCGTCACAACCGTCTATTTTCATGGTGGTTCAAATCCTGTCGACTCCTATTGATCCGTATAGAAAGATCGGGTTCAAACTTGAATTCACTTGTGGACCTGCGCAGCATCCCTAGACATCACGTGTGTACCAATAACATGCTCGTCGGGGCCCATCTAGGTGTTTGAGGGCATTTTATAATTATTTGATGAACCATATCAACTCCTATTTACCTGCTTTGAAGGATCGGGTTTAAATTTATTGGCCCACGTAATATCCTTAGACGTCATGTGTATACCTAAGACACACTCGCCGGGGCCCATAAAGGTATTTTTATAATTGTACTTAGGCCTTTTGTCCGCTTGTATGGATGTTGCAAATCCGGTGGCATGGCATAGCAGCTTCTGAATTGAGTTATTCGCTGCTTTGTATAGGTAGACTATTGTGTACTACTTGTCGCTTTCTATAGGTGGATCGTAGTGCACTAACAAATCTCCTACTTTATTGTAGAAGCTTGCATCTATTTTAGTTCCCTTGTATCCTTCTTGTAAATAGTGTATTGCACATATAACAAGTTCCCTACAATGACCTGTAGGAACTTGTACTTGTTATAGTCCTTTAGCATTTTGCTCATGGATGATTTCTATCATTTATGACGAGCCTCTTACAAGGGTCTGTAGGTATATTTTGCATTTGATGCATTCCTTATGCATTTTTCTATGATCTTTGGTCTTCTCAGTACTTCTACTATTGCTACATCTGTATTTGTCAAGAACTTGTATGTGCTGAAGATCTTCTATCCCTGATGGCATGCAGATCAGTGTGCTTATTTGTATCTTAATGTTAACTACGAAGATGTTAGAATACCCTTGCTACAAGAGTTTGCATGTGCTTGTATCTATTGCATGTCAGTCGTTGCATCAACTAATAGTTCTCTTCATTAGGGCTTCTAATCTTCAACATACAAGTTCATTGTAGATCTCATGTTGGTTAGCTGTTGTGTTCCTTTGTTACCCTTCACAAAAGACCCATGGAGATTTTGTGCGTCCACTTGCATATCTTTCTTCTATGGTTGCAAATGACATATTGAAATGAGTCTCTTACATCAGGAACAAGAGATCCCACTTCAAATTCATTTATTTATACTTGTAGAGAATCAATTATGTTCACTAGATGCATTGCATCTATTGTTAATTTAATCAGTTATCTTGAGTTATTTTAGTTTATTGTCTACTGCTTATGTGCAATGAAGATGAGCCCCATGTTATTAGCTCAATGTTCAAATTCTAGTTTAACCCACTATGGTCTGAATCAAAGTCAATGTTCATCTTGTTGTTTATTTGTTCAATGTCAAGTTCAAGCCACCTTATGCTCATTCAAGCTCCTTTGTATTCGTTCAAGTTAAAAGGTAGTTTTAAGGTTCTCATCTATTGTTCCAGTCTTGTTCATTTGGATCGAATGAAACTCAAGTTAAAGCTCATTTTAATTTTATTTCTCTTAGGTTTAAGCTTTCATTAGTCATTCTAATTTAGAAGTATATCCCCTATTGTCAAAATTAAACTCAAGTATGAGTTCTCTCAAGTCCAATTTAAATCAAGTTCTAGTTCAGTTCGAGTTCAAGTCTCTTGTGTAGTTCAAGTTCCACTTGATTAGATTCAAATTCAGTTAGATTCAATTTGTTATCATTTTCTTAACAAATTCAAATTAAATTTTTTATGTTCATTTAAACCAATATCAAGTTCATGTTCAATCGCCTTTGGTTCAAATTCAAGCCCAAATGTGGTCTTATATTCATCCGAAATATCAACAGATTTTCGGCGTCTCCCCAGTTCAGGGGAAAATTATGGAAAACTGGGCCTCCCGCCACGCTAGAGTAAAGCATGTACGGTAAGTGCCCTTGTACGAGGACACCGTGGCTGTGAAATCTTCAAGCCCACCATGCTAGAGAAAGATGTGTATGGGTCTTCAGTACCTGTTGCAAGAAAATTAATTGTTTCCTCACAGGTACAGAGCCGCATACGATTACTTAAAATTATCCCATCCATGCTAAAAAATGCTTGTATTGGGCTTACCAGCTTCGCCGTAGGTGTCTCAACGGGTTCCCTTCCCACCATGCTAGAGAAAAGCATATATGGGCGGTTTGCCAGCTCAACACGAATGCCGAGGATAGGATTTTGGGGTTTTAAGGTTTAGGAGTTTATACCTTTACGTAGTGGTGATGATGACGAGAAAAGATGAACA